TATATATATATATATTTTTTTTTTTTTTGCATTTATGAGTTGATATAACCTTTTAAAGGCTAAGATTACTGGAGCCCTTGAACCAAATGTTGCTATAGTATCTCATAACAGTTAAATAATATTCTACTGTCATACATACAGCTAAAAGCAACACTCTTGCCTACATACTGAGTTTTTCCAGTATTTCCTCATCTGTCATCTTGGATTTCTTCCTCTGTCGGTCAGTGTGACGGTATAGCGTACTGGACGTGTTCTCTGGCTGTACTTGAGACTCTGGAGGGGTCATGTCCTCTTTGACAGAAGCAGGAGGTGCAGCTGGCTCAATAACAGAGCGAGTGAAGATCTACAGAAAGATACAGTGATCGAGTAAAAGCAGAGATATGCATAGTAAAGAGAAAAAGAAAGGGAAATACGAGAAATTATACATTTCTTAATTGTTTCTCCTAGGCAACAAGATGAAATAGAGACTTTAAAGGGATAGTTCACCCAAAAATGAAAATGACCCCATGATTTATATGACCCTCATTATTCATGAGTGTCCCGGACATGTGCGTGAAACTGACAATTTTTTAGTTCACGCTCCTTGTATCTCAGAAGGTTTAATGGAATATTTAAAAAAGAGGTAAATATATTTCCAGCGTTGCGCAAACTTAGGCCTAAACTACATTTGTTCATCATTTCGTGACAGTTTATAATGTTTTTATTAGTTTGCAGTGCACATTTTTTTTTTTTATATTCCGGTACCTTTTTTAAATATTCCAGTAAACCTGCTGAGATACAGCATTAACTAAAATTCTCAGTTCCACGAGCATGTCTGGGAAACTCATGAATATTCATGTATGCTCCGCCCACTGAAACCTAAATTATAAGAGACCGAAAATCTCATAACACCGATAAGAATATGCTAGTCTCACGAGAACCAAGTTTTGTTTACAGGGGCAAAGGAAGCAAAGTTTCCTTTGTTTAGCAAAGGCTTATATCGAAATCCTCGGACATTTTTCTTTACAAATCCTTGTTTTGTACTTCTAATTCGTGACCTGTGTTTTGCTTTGCTCTCTCCTCTGCACTTCCACGTTCTTCACTTCTCACTGGAGCTTACGCTACACCTACGTCCTACATCATCCACTGGAACGCACTCTCTCATGTAGGCGCGTACGACAGTTAGCGGAAGATAGAGATTACGGTTTATAAAATTTTAAATATGGATATATTTATTACAAAAACACATTGATTCACTTCAGGAGGCCTTTATTAACCCCACAGAGCCATGTGGAGCTTTTTTTTTTATGATGGATGGACGCAATTTATTGGACTTCTATTGGACTATTGAATCTCAACCCCCATTCACTGCCATTATAAAACTTGGAAGAGCCAGTACATTTTTTAATATAACTCCAATTGTATTTGTTTGAAAGAAGAAAGTCATATACACCTAGGATGGCTTGAGGGTGAGTAAATCATGGGGAAAATATTCATTTTTGGGTGAATTATCCCTTTAAGTCTCAGATTTTTTGTACATAATTTTTTGGTTCATAATGTATTATGTATCTAATATCTAAAAATTATCATGCTGTACTAACAGATTTGGTGTGCTCAGGTCGTGGGGCAATGATGGGTGGAGCCTCATCATCATCGTCTTCATCTTCTTCTTCCTCTTCGTCCTCCTCTTCCTCATCTTCTTCTTCAGACACCGGAGGTGCAATAGGAGGTTCAGAAGTCGTCTTAGCCCCTTGCTGCACTCCCAAACAGACACACACACATATGCGCAGAGTGCAAACAGGGTTGAGCACTTGAGCCACAATCAATAGATATCACAAATGCATCTCTGTAGCCTACTGCTCATTCGTAGCCTTCATATCTAGCAATTTTAATTAGGACTACTTCTCAAATGAAACTGTAGAGATTACTCCACAGTAACTGTTTCAAACAGTAGTATGCTACAGTGCATTGTTTTATTTAAAAATGCAAAATAAATTTTTATTTCTAAGATTACAACTGGATAATTTATAGTCTTAAAAATAAAAACAGTTATTTTACATTTTTAAGTGTTTTTTTTTAATAATGGGTCAAAATGGCTGTGATTACTTCTGGTTCATTCATCAAAGAGAAAATCACAGTTAAAACAAATTGCATCGTTGATACATTAACATACTATGCATAAATTTACATACTATGCACAGTATACATACTATACGCTGCAGCAAAAGAAAGTATGCTTGTATACTATTCCTTATGCTGGTATGCACTGCCCATATAGATAGACCCTTTACAAAGTCAAATGGCAAATTGCAAGATCCTGAGCTAGTTTCTGCTATGTCTCGTTCCCTCATCTCAGGAAACCAAGTTTACGTGAGTAACCGGAGACGTTTCCTTTTGATTTAGTTCACTCAACATTGCCTCAGAGCGTATAAAATTACATCACGTGTTACAGTGAGGGGTTGTGGCTCAAGTATGTCAAGTTACACAAACACACATATAATGTGCCGACAATCCAGTGTGACTTTCCAGTGTGACAGTCTTTGCTTAGACACAGGCAGGCCGTTCATGAGTCCGCCATGACTGCAATGGCTTGAATGGGGGTCCCGTTGGTAGGGTGGAAGGGCGAGGGGGTTCATCCTTTTTGCACCCTTTAAGAATCACACCCTAGATTATTTCTACTGACTGGGCAATTATCAAAGTGAGTATGGAATACTTTTATAACAGCCACATACACTTTCAATGTAGAGGATGTACGGGGAAAAAAACACTCTTAAAGGAAGTAAAGATTTATTGTTATTGGACAGTTAAACGGGTCTTTGCCCCACAATCTGGACCAATTTGTGAAAACCATTTATGTGTGTATAGATGCCTTAGTGGAAGGAGCCCTGGCCTCGAAGATAGTGTTTAACATACTGAGAAAGCGCATCTTGTGCTGGCAAGCTCCATTGAGCAGCTAGACACAAAGATTCCATAACTCTGGGGAGGGATGCCATATCATATCATCAGGGATGCGTCTCTCCTCAGCTGGATAGTCCACTTCCGCCCTGTCGAATAAACTCCAAATCATATTGACATTCAAAGGGTATAATCCCCATTATCTGTGAATCACCCCACCCCTTGATAGTATGTCTGTACCGCAATCCAGTCCCTGCCTGACGCATCTGTTGTAATACTCTTTCTCTTGATCACCTGGCCAATAGGAACACCCTGGTGATACAATGTCATATCGTGCCAGTGGGCCAAAGCATCCAAAAAGTCACGTGTTAAATTGGATGCCACATGCTCGGAGGCATGCAACTCTTTAGCCAGAGCTGAAGTGGTCACATATGCAGGAATCCTAATCTGCACACTGCTGATGCAGCAGCCATCAGTTCGAGCATCCTCTGAAAATATTTTAGCGGAGGAGACTGCCCTAACTTGAAGACTGCAAGAGAGCAGATCACTTTCTGCGAACACTCCTCTGAGAGAGATTTCATAACCCACTCTGATACTCCTGGCTGTGCCTGCCATGCTTTGGTATGTAAATTGTGACAGTAGGCGAGGTGGACTGCATTGCATATTGGCCAGAGAAGAACTGTGCCCGGTTGCATGAAAGCCCTTAAGTGATTTGACTTAGGGGTATCCCTGAGGAGAAAAAAAATCCCTGAGGCAAGGGTTAAGAGCATTGCAACTTAAGTGTCACCCTTACCTAAGTGTTTATGTTCTCAACCAGATTAATACTTTTTCCTGTGGCGGCAACAATAGGCATGTTTATTTGCTGCCTTTTACCGTTAAGTGGCGCTATAACCATAAACTCTGAAAAGTTAGAAAGTGAATATGTTGGAGGCTCATTCTCCCAAGTAGTTTACTGCGTAGGGAGAAATTAAAGTGAAACATTTAATTTCGGAAACATAATTAAACAAAATCATCATCACAGGACCAAATTTAGTACTAAAAATTAAATGTAGGTGTTCATTACGAAAATTAACCATGGTTTTATTATAGTGAACGTAGTAACCACCAGTTTATTTTTATTTTTTTGGCATATTGATTACCATTTGTATAACCACAATTTTACTACAAATACCTTGGTTAAACTATGGTTAGTGTAGCAACACTAAGGCTAATTTGTGGTTACCATGGTTTAACTATTGTAACCGATTTGTAGTAAAAATTTTAATAAGGGTTATTTGAATAAAATTCTAATACAGAAAGACTTTGATTCCGTGCTTAGTTCTTAATCTAGAATATAAGTAGAAATGCATGTCAGTAGCATTTTTAGTATACTCTAAAAATGCAGGGTAATTTTTTTTAACCAAACACTTGGGTTGAGCCTGCAGGCTTTTTCATCCTCTTCAGGAGAGAGAGGTTCTCAACACTGCCAAATTGGTGCATTTCTTCGGTAAAATACAAGTTTTTGTATGTTTTATTTGATCTATAAAACCATTACTGTGCTGTAAATCATTTTATTATATGCAAGGCAACATATAGGGACCAATCAGTGAGATTGACCCAGCCACTAACCCAAGAGTTGGGTAACACAAAAACTACCCAACACTGGAAAAAATAACCCAACATAATGACCCAAGAGGCTCAACCCAGCGATTGGGTTGAAAAAATAAACAAAATGTATCCAGATCAGATGGTCACTGCAGCAGTACATATCCAGACCAGATGGTGGATCAGCACCTAGAGAGGACCTCTACAGCCCTGAAAGTCAGCAGAGACCAGGACAACTAGATGAGCCCCAGATACAGATCCCCAGTAAAGACCTTGTCTCAGACGGCCACCGGGACAAGACCACAGGAGCCAGTTGAGTCCTCTGCACAATGTGACATGGCTGCAGCCTGGAATTGAACTGCTGGTTTCGTCTGGCCAGAGGAGAACTGGCCCCCCGACTGAGCCTGGTTTCTCTCAAGGTTTTTTCTCCATTCTGTCACCGATGGAGTTTTGGTTCCTTGCCGCTGTCGCCTCTGGCTTGCTTAGTTGGGGACACTTCATTTCCAGCGATATTGTTGACTTGATTGCACAGATACTATTTAAACTGAACTGAGCTGGATTATGACATCACTGAATTCAATGATGAACGGCCTTTAACTGAAAAATGAGTGTTTACTAATGTTACTTTGCATTATTGACACACTATTTTCCTAATTAATGCTGTACAGTTGCTTTGACACAATCTGTATTGTTAAAAGCGCTATATAAATAAAGGTGACTTGACTTGACTTTACACACTCGAGCTCGCATCTTGGTGACTCGCAAATGCCTAGAAGTGATGGCCCTATGGAGGAGCACAGCCTTTTACAACAACAGCAGCCTTGTGCAATGGTTGCCCGGCATTCTGTGCCTGGACAGACACAGAGAAATAGTAGGCTACCTGATGACCTGCCTGGTGATTGGAGCAGTTCACCTGTCTCTTATGTGTTTCTACACTTAAGTCCATCACAAGCATGTTCTTGTTTGCATGGACAGCACGGCATGGACAACAAGGCGGTTCCCGTTCTCACCCTCCTCTCACGCTTGTGACGAGCCTGAAAAGGTGGGCAGACTAGCACCTCTAGTCTGTTGAGCTGTCTGTCTCCCCGGCCATCTCAATCGCAGGGCGGACATACGTCGAGGCACAGGGCACACTCAGCCCTGGTTCTCGGGACCTGAATGGCTAATTTCCTTGAGGAGAGATCCCCTCTCGAGCGAGCGACTCAGTCTGGCTTCCAGCCTATATGGAGTCTGGCTACATGGCAGAGTTTGCCGAAGTTAAACTCACTGTCACTGGAAGTGGAAAAGACATTCAGAGGTGAGCGCTCTGTTTACTAGACGTCTCTACGGTCATAGGTGGGGAGCCTTCGAAAATTGTTGCACTTCGAAGGGCCAAGACCCTGTCAACTGGCTGTTTTCAGTAGCTTTTTTACATGAGTGTTCGGATGACGGCTGTACGCCCTCTACGCTTAAGTGTGTGTAGCTGTGATATCAGCATTCATACTGACATTGATAGGTTGTCAGTGGGTAGGAATGATGTGATTAGATTTCTATGGGGCACGAGTCAGATTAACCCCCCTTACCCCCACTTGGGACCTCGCTTTGAAAAACCACCACTTCTGTAGTAGGCGGTACCAGCGTTGCTGCAGCCTAGCCAACTTACACACAGTTCCCCAGGCCATTGTGCTATCTAATTCCGGTAAGCTCCACAACTGCATGTCTAGCTCCGATTAGAAGCTGTTATCTGGAATGTGCTGCTTTTGTGTACTTGTGTAGAGGGGCTGTACCATACATTGCGATTACTGTTGAGTGTCGCTGTGTTTATTTGATGTCTCCGCTTATGCTGAGCGCCCTTCGCAGTAACACGACGTGAAGGTACACGTTCCCCAATGTGATCAGCTGGAAAAAACGGTGGTACATTAAAGCTCGTGCTTATTGTAGCAAAAAGTATCACGCTTGGTTTGGAACAATTTAACAATTGTATTAAGGAGGGCCACCACCACAAGACCTATCTGAGACAGCGAAATTGGTCAAAGACATATTAGGGAAGGACTCTCCTACTCGAGTTGATATTGCAGGTGTTCCTCAAAGCAGTTCGAGAAGCAGGTGAAATAATGCATATGAGCGCTAAAATTTTGGCTTGCAGTTTGTAAAATGTCTTTTGCTTTCAAAGATGTTATCTTTTGTATTGTGATGTAAAGATACAGATAAGGTGCTAATAATAATAATTCCGTAATAATAATAATGATAATAAACATAAAATTAGCCATTGCATTTGAGATGACTTAAGGGAGCT